ATCTTGCACCTAGTGTAATACAGGAACCTCCAAACAGGGCAAAATCACATTACAATTTCCCTTGTCTTGTACTGATAACCAAAACCATTTCTCCTTAATATGCATAATGAGGCCTACATATCAAAGACCTAACAGGGGGCCCTCAAGCAGGGGTTTGCACGTGTTCATGCAGAGCCCCTGCCCAGCGCCCCCATACCCTCTCCTTGCTCTGCTTTCTCCTAGGCCTTCATGCCCATGCGTCACCTACTGCACATGCTAGTATTGGTTTTGTTTATTACCTGTCTCCCCCACTAGAAATGAAGCACAGGGATTTTGCCTGTTTTGCTTGTATGCCAACAGTGCTTGTGAGACAGTTGGTGTCTTTATAGGATTATCCTGAAATTAGACAAAAGCTTGGGGGCAGGTGGCTTATTTGGAAGATGGTCCCAGATACCAGAAGTGAGGAGATGAAAAGAGTAAGACAGGGCAGGAGGAAAAGCCAACTAAAGGGATGTTATCAAGGTCCCTGCTGCAGGCAAAGGACCTTTGAGAAGCTTCCAGAAGCTTCTGGGATTGGTCCATCAGAGGGAGGGCAGGGAACTGGTGTTTCCATCCCCTACTAGTTAAAGGTTGTCTTGTTGGGTGTGAAAACCCTTGTCCTCCAGGCTGAGCCTCTGCTGGGGCTGAGCTTTGAGGCAGCGAAGTGCAGCAGGGCCCTTTGGAAGCCTGAGGAGGGAATGCTGTCTGGGTGCTCACCGCAGCAAGGGCAGAGGTGGAGCAGGTGGCTGTGTGAAGACCACCAAAAGCATCTGCCCTAGGAGGCATTACACAAATGATTCTTAGCGAATGAATGGATTCTTCTTCATGCACGTATGTGTGTGCCTTACAGGAGAAGTGTGGGCCCAGGCTCATCTGGCTTTAGAACCATAGGCAGATTTCTAGTACTCTCTGACCCATTAAGAAGGAAAACTTGTTACTATGGCCAAGGAGTTCGGATCCCTTTTAACTTTTTATTCCTCAGAGGAACTTCTGTAACACATGCCTGCTTAGAATTCCCATTCCTGGAAGTGAAGAGGCTACTGTTTTATTGCAGATTAGAAGGGTCCACTGCATGAGCCCTTCTTCTAGCTTCTGATAATCCTGTCATCTTTGGCTTTTCCTTGTGACATTTCTGCTCTGGCCTCTAGGCTGCTCCAGCTCTGCCTTTTTACCAGCTCCCTTTCCTCCACTCACACCTTTTGGCTGTCGCTCCTCAGGGTCTGTCTAGAGGCACCCGCCCATTCTACCTGCCCTCTTAGGCACTTCCTATGACTCCCAGGCTGGCAGCCACCACCCACACCTCTAGTGCCCCACAGATCTGAGCTCAGGGTTCAGGTTCCCAACCTCCTCCTGGACATCCATGTACAAACAATGAGCCCAACCCCCTACTGGACACATTACCTACCCCACCCCATACCCCAAGTCTGCTCTTCCTCCTGAATTCCCTGTTTTAGGTTATGCTCCACCACCCACCCCTGTCTCCCAACCTGGAACCTCAAGGTCAACCTCAGTCGTCTAATCTGATTGCCTCTTCTGGTTCCTTGAACACCGAGAGGTTAAACGTGGCTGTCCCTGGGTGATGGATTTTTTTTTCTTCTTTTCTCTACTTTTATTTATTTTCTGAATTACCTCTTATTACTTACGACTTTCATAATATTGAATAGGGTTCATAATAATGAATAGGTTTCACAATGGTTTATTATCCTAAATATAAGTCTACTTTGATTCCTCCTGCACCTCTTCACACCACGCCCTCCTAACAGTTCCTGACTTACAGTCTCTCCCTGCCTGGAACACCTTCTGCATCATAACTAGAAACTGGAAGCTTATTCCTTTGCTCTCTTCATCTAAACATTTCCCTGGGATCATCCCCCATCACCTCCACCCCCATAGTTCCCAAATACATCAGAATCACCCGGGGATGTTTGTTCTCTTGTTCTTTCTGCTCCCTCATTATCCTGTCAGCCCGTGTTCCTACTGCATCTCCAGTGCCTGGCAAAAAGCAAGTGTTTAATAAATATTAATGAAATGGGTGGAGGGAAGGGAGTTAAGTAACTGGCTTACCACAGGGAAATTCTATAGCCGTGGTTCTCCAAGTGTGGTCAGGGGGCCACCAGCAACCAGCAGGAGCATCAGGGAACTTGCTAGGAATGCAGATTCCTGGGCCCCACCTCAGCCCTACCGAGTCAGAAATTCTGGGGGTGTTTGAACAAGCTCTCTAGGTGATTCTGCTCTATAGCAAGTTTATGTTCCCAGAGATGTCTTGGCCACAGTCACAAATAAAAGTAGTTTCCCCAACTGAACAACACAACCTTTAGCAGCCTTGTGGAAAAACCAGGGTGAAACATCTAATCAGCATCTCTGTTTCAAAAATGTCGCCTCTAGGTTGCAGAAATGCAGCAGCCTCTAGAGTTTAGAAAGGGGCACAGCAACCAGAGGTGTCTCCCCCAAGCTTCCCCGGGCTCCCCACCCACCCCGACCCCCACAGTCCTGCCATCCCGGGACCCCCACTGCTGAGCACAGATTCCAATTTGAAAGAAACCCTTTCAAGTCTTTCTCCGTGAGGGAAAGGAGGAGTGGAAGGCCCCGGGACCGGGCAAGGGATGGACAGAGACCCCCTAGGTCCCAGACTGAGAAGCCTCACTGCGCTAAGGTGCCTGGGGTCTGAGGCGGATCCTTCGCCAGGTGCTTCGCCAGTTTGCACCTCTGCCGTCGGTGAAATGGGGTTGCCACTGACTTTTGCAGGACGCGGTGAACTGGAGCACCAACCAGTGGACTCCAACCCAGAGGGCTTCAGGGCAGAGGTGGGGCAGGGTAGACCCTCATGGCGCTCTGGCTCCGGGTCGCCTTGATCCGGAGCCAAGGACTCGACCGCGCAGGGAAGGGCGTACAGCTACCGCGGCGTCTGCCTTGTCCTCACCAAGCAGCCGAGTGACGAGGGGCAAGTTCCTTATTTCAAAGCTGGCGGGAACTGGGCCAGGTGTGAGACTCGGGGAAGGTGCTAGAGGCGGATGCCGATGCCAGAGGGGAATAGGGACTGTGGGGTCTCTTTGGGACACTCGTTGGCGCCCCTTGGCGACAAAGAGCCTTAGGCGCCGCAGGCAGGACGTAACTCCGCCGGGAAGAAAACACAGCCCTTCCCCAAACTCCGTGAGAAGCCCCATGGTGTCATCCTTATTTTACAGCTGTGTGAATGGGGCCCCAGGACACCAAGAGCCTGCCATGGCCTAGCCCTTTCACTGACCTCGAGATCCTGGAGAACTTTGAGGGGTTTTCAAGGGGTTGAGAACAACGTGAAGACCCCTCCTCCCTTCCCGGGAGGATATCCGCTCTCCGGTCAATTGACCAGAGCGGCCTGAGATGCGCCAAGAGGGACAGACACTCCCTCCATCTCAGAGTTACACTTTGCTGACACTCAGCCCTGTCTAGTGTTCTCCTCCGACCCCACTTCCCCATTTTCCTCTCCGGCCTCTTTGGTCCTCAAAGCGAACTACACGGGGGCAGGTAGCTTCTGCATCCCAGAGGAGAGACCCCATTCCTAGGTTTCTCACCCTGGAGGGGAGAGCCCCGCGCTGGAATGGGCAAGGGAGACAGGGTGGACGGAGCTGGGAGAAGGAAGCTGCCGCGACAGGGGCTGGGCTGGATGCCGGACACCCCGCCTGGGAGGCGTCCACCCGGCTCCTCTGGGCCGTTGCCCCCTCTCTCCCGGGAGCCACCTCAGTCATTTGTCGCCCCCGTGGCCGCCCTCTGAGCACGTGTCACCCGTCTGCGTCAGCGCTGGGTAAATAGATGACTGGCCAACGGCTCAGGCGGGGCTATTTAAGAGGCAGCCTCCTGCCCGCCCACCCTGAACTTGGCTTGGCTTCCCCGCTGCTCTGGCAGGAACGCGAAGCCGGCTGCGTCCTGCTCCGAAGGTAGGTTCCCCGCTCCTGGGGATCCAAGTGCCAAGTGGCCTTGAAGAATGCTGTCTTCACTTTTGTGCCCCTTCCATTTCAATTTTCTGTTTTCTGTGTCTTCTTTCCGATATCTCGAAAGACATTTCTTGAAGTCGGAAAGGATAGTGCGGGCGGGGTGGGTAGAGCTGCTTTTGAGACTTCACGCTCCTGCTTTGTTCTTTTTGCGCAGGCAACGCTGGGGTATCTGGTTGCTCGGATTAGTATGTAAATTGCGATTTACTAGATGTTGCACAACGATGCAGTGTACTTTGAAATCGTTTCAAATAAACTACCAAGGGGTTTTAAGATTTAAATTCAATTTCTAAGTGCTGCAGAAAAATTCACGCTTTTGGGCATAGAAACGTGTGGGTATTTTATCTGCTCGCGGATCTAAAATGCAGCGGTGCTTGGCGGAGGACTGACAGGACTGAGCGCATATTTCTGATTTTAAAAAATCCTGCCTGTGTTTTGCATAGTGGTTATTGCCATTTCCCATGTGCAGCTTGAAGAAACTTGAAAAATATGGCTTTTATTTATTGCTCTCACATTTTAAACCGTGCTCCTTTTTTTTTTCCTTTACCATTTATTTATCTGTTGGAAGCTTAGCTCTCTGGAAAGGTGCTACCTTTCTTCAAGGGTCTCATTTCCCCCATGGAGTCTTCCCTTTAGGATAATTTTCACCTATCTTTAATCTCTTGCTTTTCCAGTTAGGAGAAGAGAGACGATGCTCTGACACTTCCTCAAACTAAAGGAAAACAGAAAACCTTCCTTCTGCTTAAACAGGGCAGAAGACAAGGTCTCTCTCCGCCCGCTTTCCCCGCTCCAAGGCCCCGGGTGTAATTCACCCAAAAGACAAACGCGATGCTCCCTGATGCGCGGGCTGGTGCCACCGGCCCCCTCGTGCTTTCACCAGCCTGGCAGGTCCGGAGCCCCGCGCATTTGGACTGAGGCCCCTTCTCTGTACCCCGGGCGCCCGACCCTCCGCGATATCCCGCGAATGCCCCACCTGTTCGTTCAAAGACCCCCTCCTCTCTGCTCCCCGCAGCCATGAACAGCGGCTTGTGCCTGTGCGTGCTGATGGCGGTCTGGCGGCGGGCGCCCTGGCGAAGCCCGTGCCTCCCGCGGACCCCACGGGCTCCCGGGCTCAGCAGGAGGAGGGGGCGCCCCGGAGGCAGCTGAGGGCGGTGCAGAGGGTGGACGACGAGCCCCGAGCGCACCTGGGCGCGCTGCTGGCCAGGTACATCCAGCAGGCTCGGAAAGGTACGCATGCCGCTTCCCTGACCCTCACTCACTTCTGCCCCCAATCCTGACCCCCTTCTCTAGTGTCTTGCTGATGGAGGTGGGTAACCCGTCTTGGGAGGAAACACGGGAGACACGTAAAGCTGAAAGCTTTTTCACTTTCTTTTCCTGAGTTGTACTGCACAAGACAGTACAGTTTTCCAGACGTCCTTTGTCACAAACTGAGAGTGCAGGGTTAGTTTAATTTATTAAGGGAAACCTGTTTTCTTTTAATTGAAGTATAGTCAGTTATAATGTGTCAATTTCTGGTGTACAGCATGTTTTAGTCATACATGTACATACTCGTTCTCATACTCTTTTTCATTAAAGATTACTACAAGATACTGAATATAGTTCTATTAAGGGAAATCTTTTTTAAAAAGCTTTCTTTAATTTTTGCATGGTGTTGCTGTTTAAATTCAACACTATATATTATATATATATATGAAGACATTAAAAGATAATAATTACTGAGCAAACTACTGACTCAAAAAGGTATTGCAGAGCCACTAAACACCATCTACTGTGAATGCAAAGGACCCAGGAGCCACCCAGGTACTGCACATGGAATCCCTCCAGCAGGCAGTGATCAATGCTGAGAATGCTTGAGATCTGACCCCAACAGTTTAAAAAAAAAGTGACAATGTGTCAGTTTTCACCAAAGGATGTAACAGGAGGAAAGAATCAGGAGCAGTTTTGAGTTCTCCTTGGCAGTGATTTAAGATGATTACCCAACAAGAGACGTGTTTTTATTTTGCTGTCGGAGTGACTGTCCCGATTGCAGCAGGAGCTAAACAAGCCACAGTTTTCTCAGCATCAAAGTCTTTCTCCAGGAATAAGGTGACTCAGCTTCTCAGTAGCTGAGTGGCATGTGGACAGCCCTGTCCCTTTCCTGGGCCTGTCTCATCTGTAAAGAGAAAATGATGATGGGGTTCCCATTGGCCCCTTCCAGCTCTTTTCATGATTCAGAGGGAGGTTCATTCATCTCTAGGTTCCTCAGAAATTATAATTTGGACTGGGGCAGGTTTTTTCCTACCAGCTTTATCCACAGTGACACATGGTGAACACACTGGCTATGGGACGAGGTGTTAAACTGGGCCAGAACTGCTGGACATGAAACCACAGCAAATGCTGCTGGGCTGGGTGGGAAGTGGGCTCCTTTCCCATAAGGCTCCCTTACCCTGCTGGTGTGCCAAGGCCTATATCTGAACTTTAACTTGTGGCTTGACTAGATGGGGAGAAAACAGGGCTTGGCTCTCCAGAACTGCCTTTAGTTCCATATGAAGGTGAGACGGGACCTTTTTGACCAGAGAATTTCAGAAGGGTAGAACGGAAGGTGATTTGTTATATTCCAACTTCTCTTTGGGAAACTGTCCCAACTACCATCTTCCATTTTGCTTTCCTGCTAATTAAATTGAAAGCTGTGGAAGTACTAGTCAGATGACCAAATCTGAAAACTTTAGGGGTTCCTGTTGATTGTCTGTCTGAAAGTAATTTCATATCTGTCCTTGGATATGGGGTGAATTTCAGCCAGGCCAGTCTGAAATATCATAGGCTTTTCATTGACCATAATCTGGAAGCCCATCCCCACCTTCAGGAAAGAACCACCAGAAACAGTTCTGGGAAAGCAGCCAGTTATCAAATGATTTCCCTTGAACTGACACTCGACACAAGGTCCTTCTGGTGTCTCTTCTTAACCCCCTTCTCCCCTTGTCGTCAGCCAAACCTGTGTGTGAATAGCTGTCACTGGGAACTTTAGCTGCCAACACCCAGGATCCATGCTAGCTAGAAAACAATAATCTCTTCCATTTGACAAATATGAACTAGGAACACATATCTATGTCTATACAGTTTCTTTGAATATTTACACATTTTGGGATCATATGGAGTATTTACTCAACTGTAGTACACGTTATGCTTAAAGAGTCTCAACAAGAAATGCCCCCTTTGGGGAGTGCTCAAGAATTTGTCATTAAGAACCGTCTGCAGAACTTTCAATCATCTGAGGAGAAGCAATTCTGTTCGGGGGCAGAGGAGTGTCTAGTGTACACCTGCTCCAAGGCCAGCAAGCAAAGCCCAGGGCTACCTCCGTATTGTCTCTCTTTGTCCTCATGACAGCCCTGCACAGGAAGATGTGTTATCTTCCTTTTGTCAGTGTGGACAAGCTGGGATTCTGGGAGGGTGAATGACCTACCTGAGGTAGCACATCTAGGCAGCATCAGGTCTGAGAGGCTGTTTGAGTCCTGCCCTCCCCAGAGGGTCTGGAAGCTCCTCAGCTTCCCACTGTACTAAGCATTCTGTGCTAAGCATGTACTCTAACCACTGTGCTATACCCTCCCCCTTGATAACCTCTCTGATACGTATAAGAGGGTGCATGTTGCATATTGTCTGGCCTTTTCCGTTGTTCTCCTTCACAAACTGAACTAGCGATGCTCTTAGATGTAATGGCCCCGTTTCCTTCCACTCTGCCACTTGTAGCTCCCTCTGGCCGAATGTCTGTGATTAAGAACCTGCAGAACCTGGACCCCAGCCACAGGATAAGCGATCGGGACTACATGGGCTGGATGGATTTTGGCCGGCGCAGCGCTGAGGAGTACGAGTACGCCTCCTAGGAGACCCGGCCTTGGTCAGCGCAGCAGGAAGCCACCTCCTGACTCAGGAGGCAGAATAAGGAAACAATCCCGTTCATAACTCGTTGTTTCTGAAGTCTGACATTTAAAGTATCTATTTATTGAGTTTTCAGTGTGAAAAAGCTGTCTGTGAGATTGTCCAACGCAACCACGCACCTCAGCAGAAACGTACAAATGGAAGACAAAACATTCCTCTCATCTGTGACTCCTGGTCCTAAAGTGTTGCTATGCTATTAAAGTGATTTCATTCTGCCCGTTGTTCCCTGTGTCTGCCGAGGGCAGAGGGCGCATTTAGGCCTCAGATCGTTCAAGGAGGGATTCCTGATGTATGCGGCGCAAGGACGGGCCCCTGCGGTAGATGGTCCCAGAAAGGGCTTGAGGCTTGAGAGTCAGGCATAGAGCTGACTTCCCTGCTGCAGGCCAGGGAGCCAGCAAAAGGGCCTTCCGTGTCAGCTCCAGGACCTAGCCCCGGCCGCCCTGGGCCCAAGGGGTCCCCACTGCCAAAAAGAATGTGCCCTGCTTACAGTGGGCACTCATTTGTCTGGGTGAAGTCCAGAGAGGCAGCTGAGGATGGAGCCTTCCATCTGCCCATCCCCCTGGGATGTTCTGTTCTGCCAACTCCATCCCACACCAGAGTTTCTCTGGGCTTCTCTTGGCCTTTAAAAAAATTGGGGGCAGCACTGGTCAGTGCTTTTACATGCATTTGCTCTCTCCACAGCCCTGTGGCACCGAGATGATTGCCCTTTTTCAAATGAGGAAATGGGTTCTGAGAAGTGGAACTGACTGGCCCGTGGTTCCCCAGCTAAAGAGATTCAGAGACTTGAGGGCGTTATCGCTCCTCGGTTAGCGTGACCTCCATCACTAGCGCTTCTCAAACGCTGGAGTACTTATGAATCCCTGGGGAATCTTGTGAAATTGCACAGTCTGATCCAGCAGGCCTGGGCTGCGGCCTGAACAAGTTCCCAGGTGACGTCAGTGCTGCTGGTCCTGGCCCACACTTGGAGTCACGACTGTGTAAACAAGAGCTGATGATTACAATCCCTTGGGTCTCACCATATCCCAGAGACATACTGTAGGGCACGTTGGGGTGGCTCTGGTAGTTATCCAGAGCAGAAGCTCTCCTTTTTTGGGCCACTCCCTCTTCGGGGTCTCTGCAGGGATCAGTAAAGGGAATTAGTCCAGGGCAACACTGGAGAT